GCCTGTTTTAAATGATTTGAGTGGGACTGCACTCTGATCTTGTTTGCAGTGTTATTTTGCCTTCTTCAGAGCGTCCTCCAATTCAAATATTCCAGCTAGACCCAAAACGGCACTGAACACGCATATCACAACAACCAACTCTACCTTTTCTCCTCCTCATGGAGGAGGAGAAAAGGTGAGCATGAACAGATAATGATACCATCTATGAAGATTTCTTGAAATTTCCTGTTTGCACATTGCTCAACATAGCACTGAAGTGGTTCTTGCTAGTTTGATTGAAATCACTGTTTGCCTCCTAAAGCCTAGAAATATTAACCAGAAAAATCCTCCCCGATGTGGGAGGAGGAACCAGTGTGCAGCCTGGCCTGGTAACTTGCTCACTCTAATGCCAACACATGAGAACTCCTCACCTACCGCACATGAAACAAATGCAATAAAAACCTTTTTATTTAAGACTTGCCCATGTGATCATCCAACCCCCTAATGGCATTCTGAGCAACAGGAAAAACTTAATATTAGAGAAAAAAACCCATAGAATCTAAACACCAATTAACATTTTATCCTTCATAACAGATTAATAGAAACATTCAAAAATTGGAGAAGGAAACTATAAAATCTTTATTTTTAACTCTTTTCCTCAGAGACGGCAGTCTGCCACCACAGGAAGAGGCTTCTTCTCAAAACGTTATCCCCCATCAATCCGGTCAGCAACAATACAAAAAGACAGAGAAGAAGAGCTTTCTCCGTCACATGTGAGGTACGCAAGTGGTGAAGCTCTCGGCACACGTGGTGACGGCTATGAATGGGATACTGCTCTCTGATTGGTGGAGGGAGCCGGGGGTCAGGCGTTCTGCCAGCAGTTCATACAAGGCTGCTGATTGCTATTCATCCACTGATTACAGTAATTTAAATCTGCAGCGGGCCGAAGGGGGCTGCGTCTGGCAGGCTGGCTGCTGAGGATGGATGCAATTTGGTTTGCTTTCAGTAAAACAAAAAGAAAGAATGCAGCATACAAGCCGGGAGAACATGAACACATCTGTAAAATAAACGCCTAAAGATATTGTTTATTTAATATGCAAAACTTACAACAACACTGAAACTGTGTCAGAGATCAGCCTTTGTAAGGATAAAGCTGAATGATGAAATCATTTTTGGCTCTTTTGTCTTGCTGGTTCATGCATGGACAGCCTGAGACCTTGAATAATCAAAGTTGATGAAGCAGTTAGTCACAAATGTTCTTTTTCCAGGAGTGCTCCTGATGATTAATCAGAGACCTGAGCAGCTCTGGCCGCTCCACCCGCAAACACATTACAAGGTTAATTTCTCTATTGATTAGAGAAGAAGAATAAACCAATACTTCACTCTAAATCTTCTTCGTTTTCACACATCCACGTTTTTCTGCTTGCAACTCTGGTTGATGAATGAGGTTTTTACTGATATCATCTTCTCACCATACCCTTTCGCTCATAATGAAAAAATAAATCATGTTTAGCACAGCATTAGGCTCACATTTATTGCCAAAAATCGAACAGTTTTCAAAAGTTTTTCTTTCTACAGAAAAGTATTTTCACAGACAAGTTAAAAACAAGAGCTTAAATATACATTCAGACGTCTTGTCTGACGTCTTGGCTTTACACCAGAAATCGGCAAGAAGTTCATTCAATTTTCTGCTCGTAATACTGTCTCAGAGCTTCTTTCACACACACACATTCATGTATATACAAAGACAAAAAGAGTTTCCTGTTCTGAGAAGAGGTGACACCACTTTGTGGTTTGTCCATGCCGTTCAGCAGAAGGCCGTCCCATCAGTTCGCTTTGTGCCGAAGCGACAAACTGTGCCTGGGCGGAACCAGCGACTGGTCCGTTGGACATGTGAAATGAAGCCCATCACACACACATGTATACACACACAAACAGAGTGCTGTCGTTGAGTCTATGTTGGGGGAAGAATTTATAACACCCATTTATTACCCTCTGCTTTATCAGAGAGATGCGATTCCTCCGTGCGTTTCTGATGCCGTCATTATGGTCCATTATGGGGAGCTGACAGAGATGGAGCAGAGGGCGTTGATGGATTTTGGTGCAGAGGCCCGCTGTCACCACCACGTTTATCGAGTGCAGCCTGAGAGACACTCCCCCCATACAAAATGGCCGCGGAGCCACAACATGGCTCCGGCTGCAATAACAATTACCTTCTGACGATCGGCACAAAATGTTAAAACATTCATCTGCTGCTTGTGTGTGTTTGGAAAAGCTTCAAGAAGCAACAGTCCTGCTTCTCATCACGGCACAGTGTGCATATTTACACAAACAGCATTCAAATTACAGCTTTAAAGAGATTGGTTTCAAAAGTATGACAGATCCCACACTGAGTCTGGGCCAGCTTTCCTCAAGTATGTCTATCTAACACAATACTCACAATGAAGCAACAACTGTATTACAATCATATAAATATTAATAATAATAATAATAATAGTAGTAATAGTGTCAGTGTGCCTTAAGAGTCACTTCGGCACCATTTTCCTTCATTCATGTAGCTAGAAATGACAAATGAAGACCAGCTTCAGTGTGTCCTTAACTCCCTTTTGAGGTGCAAAATTTGTCACCAAACACATCGACGAGGCAAAATCATTTTCAGGTCCAAAGCTGAGCCAGCTTCATGCATAAAAGGTGACAGTTCAGTCAGTTCCTCTCTTTGAATGCCACAGATCAAAAAAGGAGCCGAGAAACACAAGTGATCGATGAGGCTAATTAACTAATTGATCTGGATGATTCTTAAGAGCATTTCATAGTTTTCTTCTTCTGCCCTCCATCTTTAGCATTTTCTCATTCTGCTTGGCATGAGGAAATAAAGACACAGGGGTTTTCTGTTTCTAAATCATGAACAACGACAGGCAATACTGTCTCTGACATGTTCTGAATTATTATTGCCTTTTTGCAGGAGCAGAACAATAAAGTCAGTTAATACCAGTCAGACTTTTCCTGGCCAAAACCAATTTAAACCTCTCAGGCTCAAATTACTTGCAAAGACTGGCTAAGTTGTTGCAAATCTGCAACACCTGCCTGGAGAGGGTTAAATTTTTTTCTCTAATATCTGATCTACCGATTTCAATTTGAAACATTTTCAATATTGTATTTCCATATATCACATTAAAGAGAAAAATGTGTGGCAGGTTCTTTTACAGAGACACTGAAACTGACAAAATGAAGGAATGACAAGATCATCTTCATTTAAGCATAAAAACATGTCTCCTCTTCCATGTATGATTTTCATTCTATAAACTCAAAAAGGAACATGAACAGTTTTGCTGTTGATTAACACATTCACAGATGAAAAATAGGAGAAGTTCTTAGTTTTATGCATTAAATGAAATGGAGGGGAAATAATAGCTCCCCTTCAATAATAGCTGACTGAAAAAAAAATTCTCAGATTTAGATCTCAGACTTAAATATTGGTGCATCTCTAGTAATAAAGGCATTATGTTTTTGTTTTTTTTGTTCTGCTTTTCTTTAAAATATTCACCTAAACTAAATACTAACACATCTTGGGTAGTTGTTTAAAATATATACATAAAACCCCTATATCCTTGTATTTCCTTTGGAGTAAAGCCACAAAAACGTGTATGTGGAGCAGAAGCTGGCATGAGGTGAAGTTGAGGCGAATGGAGGGCTCAGGATAGCCAGAGGTTCTCTGCATCCCCATCTGTTCGATTGTAGCTGGAGACGACAGCTTCGGAGAAAACACGTCACCGCCAACTGTCCGGCTGCTCCCTCTGTCTCTTTGCTGTTCCGTTTTGTTTTCTGTGCAGCAGGTTCTCCGCTTGAAGTAATGAGTCATGTTAGCAGCTCTTTGCTTGCAGGGGTGCAGCAACCAATGAAATGATCATCCAAAGAGAGGAAGGAGGAGGAGAAGACGGAACACAGTGAAGTGAAAGGCAGAGATGGAAACAAAAAGCACTGATCAGAATTTCTCAACTCTGCTCCAGGCAGAGAAATGCTTCTGTCGGCTCCATCTGTCCCCCTTCCTGCTTGTTGCTCAGAGGAAGAACAGGAGCTGTGAGGAGCTTTTAAGAAGAGGTCTTCATCTCTCCTCTGAAATCTGTTCCTCGATCTGTCCATCAGTTGTCCAGCAGGCTCCGTGTCACTGCCCTCTGCCTCCGTTGGGTTTCGTTTTGATGACCCATTCTCCTCCAGGGTTACTGTTGTATAGATCCAGGAGATGCGTGTCGATGTCCAAACAGTGCTCTCCTGCAGATAAACACAAACTTCACTTACCACAAATTAGAATTTCATAGCTGACTGAATTTGCAGACACCTGATCATCATCATTACTATGGAAAAAAGTAATTTTTTATTTATTATAGAGTATAGATCTAAAATCTTCAGCAACAAAAAAACCCTAATCTTATTTTTTTCTTTCATGCGAGTCCAACTATTCAATTTAAAGATTTTTCTGATGCAATAAAATTATCAAAAAATTCTCTGTTGCACAGGTAACACTGATGGAAATGCACAGACATGCCGATAAGCATGTATCCGCTTTGATGACTGCAGATGCACACTTCATGTCTCTTTATCTCCTGAACAATTCACCTTGTAACTCTCATCAGCTCAGTGAGCAGAAAGACACACAAATGTCAGTGTTACTCTTAATCTGAGAAAACGAAAAAAAAAAAAACAACTCACCAATATTCCCTCCTACTTCATACAGGGCGCAGTCTGGGTATCCCACTGAGCCGTTTCTGTTAACAGAAAACAATTATGTAAACTTATATAATGCATACAAGTTAACTCTTGCAGAAAACATTAGGTGGCAGACACGATGATGACTGAGCACAAGACACAAAAACAATCTAAATCTTAACAGGAAGATTTAGATTCTATAACATGTTTCAGAGCTCGATGACTTGAGAGTGTAATTTAAAATCTGAATAAGTTTCATACCTGCGCATTTTCCCCTTTCCATTTTCTGGGCTGCGGAGGAACTGGCGGTAAAACTGGGCGAGCAGGTCCGAGGTTCTGCAGTTAATGTTGAGTTGGAACTCCATCGTGCCGTTCACCAGATCTCCCACCTGGATCTTTATAGTACGACGTGGCTAAAGAACAGAAACAAATATTTACCTTGGATGGAACAACCAAAAATGTAAGGGATTCAGATGGTTAAACAATGTTTTCATTGTTTAACCAATGAAATGTTTTCATTTCAGAGCTGCTGAACAAGCTCACCTCTGAGTTTTTCTCTGGTTTTTCTCTGCTGTCCGGCTGAATCTTTCTCAGCAGGTTCTTGAACTGATAGCGACGGTTGCTGTTCTCATTTAGCCGACGTACTTGGCTCATGAGGAAGTTAGGGACCTGAAGAGAGAAGGGAAACATTAATCAGCATGAATTCTTACATATAAACACTGTATGAAGATTACAAATACTTTATCTACATTTTAAAAGAAGTCCACCTAGGCTTAATCCAAGGATCCGTTTTATTTTCCACTTTTACTAACAACAATGTAGAGAACAAATCTACAGACAAAGTGCTTCTTTATGCAGATGACACCACATTTCTACTCTGAGGTAGGTTTCACACCAGCAGTTTGTGATAGCATAGTTTGTAATGCTACAAGCTGTTTGAAAGCTTACAATTCTTGAGATTTTTGTTTTGTTTATATTAGGCCTTTTATTTCACTTTTATATAACTAGGAATATCCTACATATTAACAGAAATCTGTTTCTGCAGCAGATGGAAGGCAGTGTAAAGCTTGTCAATAACGATCACACTGGACAACCGGTGTGTCATGGCTAATGTAAATAATTCTTCTTACTGTCCAGAGGAGGTCTTGGTAACGGATGAGAAGCCTCATCACATCAGCTGCTTTCTCCGCCTGTCCTTTCTCTGCCCCATCTGTCAGTCGGCTCGGGACGGCCTTATGGAGGAAGAGGTTGGGAGCCATGATGGTGGCCACGGCCCACAGGTTCATCCTGTTCTTCTTCTCTCTGTTGACCACCTTACTGAGGAACTCCAGCAGGGCCTGACAGAAACGAAACATAAATGAGCCCAATTAAATAAGGCAGGGATGATGTTATAGTGAACTGTTTCGGAGAAGGAATCCTATCAACTCTGCTAAACTGGTTTGTTAAGGCATAAGTTATTTTCAGCTGCTTCAAGCAGAGTTGAAGTGGTTGGGGCAGGTGCATTTGTGCTCCTCTCATTTGCTATACGGAGAATTGACTGCACAGCTGGATTAGTAAAAACTGATCATGACAGATGTAGAACATTACATAACAGAGTAGAGCATTATGAAACATGCTTTGATTAAATAGGTCGTGTTTCTCTCAAAAACACTGCAGTGGGTTACAGCCAGCATACTTCCTATTTACTGTTAAAAGTTCACATTGCGGTCATTGCCTATAAGGAAAATTGAGACCGTTTTACTCCCTACAGACACTCTACTATTGCTGCAAACGCTACGTTCAAATTAGGAACTTTACAAGTTATTAAATGTAAAAAGGAGGGTAGGTCTGGAGATGTTATGACAGCACCAAACTAATATCTCAAAAGAACGACACTTGAATGAACAAATATTATGCGTTTTTCTTTGTGAAGTCATCAATCAAAGTCTTCAGGAGTTGTGATGCGTTTACCTTCAGTGTGCTCCTGTTGGGCTCAGGGAGCAGCAGGATGAGCAGGTTCAACATGTGCAGTTTCTGCCTCAGTTCTGTGATGTCTGGAGAACAAAACAACACGTTAAGAAAGACAGAACACACACACACACACACGCACACACACACACACACACACACACACACTGCTCATTTCCTCTGTGTTTGACTAAGAGTAATGGGATGTCCAGAGATTAATGGCATTGTGACCGGCAGCCATTAGGATTGTTAGCTTATGTCTCTGTGGTCACAAGTCATTTATCACTTGCACTGATCCTGCTTACAAACCACAGCTCTGCTGCCATCAGTCAGATGAAATTAATATTAATTTGTGTTTTTTTATTAAAGTTAAAAAAGCTGAATTTTGAAGATGCTGTGCATTTTTGTATTTGTGGGGAACTGGATGTATTTTAAAGATATCGACTTGTTCATCTTAAGATTGATTTCTAAGCTGAAACAGAAAAGATAAGGACTACAAAGGATAGCCATCACAATAAAGGAGACGCAAATGATTACAAAAACCCAGACCAGAAGTCAGGAAATGTGGCCATCAGATTATTATGCAGGTAAGTGAAAAGAAATATTGCATATCATTACATTATACAGTAACATATGAGACACTATCAAATAAAATGTCAAGTGTTTACTTTTTCTGGTACTGTTCATGGTCTTAAAAGGAACATAACAGGAATTATAAATATACAACAGACATAGTAAGATCTCCTGACCTCTGACGGCGCTGAAGGTGTTGAGGTATTCTGCAGTGAGCAGCGGGTCAGGAAGCTCTCGGATGAACTTCTTCAAGAGGGCAGCAGCATCATTTGGACTCACTTCATCCCAAACGAAACGGCTTTTGTAAAAATTGGCCTCCAGATTCTGCTGTAGCAGCTGCAGACAGCGAGTGATATCAGCATCATAAACACATGAAATATGAAAATAAACAGAGAAGTGTAGGTAAAGTAGGTTAAGTTATGTCTTGCAAATCAGTCTGTGCTTTTGCTGTTTTTGGTTTAATTGCTTGAAATAGAAAGAAAGTTTACGGTCTTATTTGATTTTTCTTATAATGTTCTATAAAAACTATTTTTTAATATCTAGTTTTGAAAACTCTTCTAAAATGGCAACGACTTTAGTTAACTGGAATAACACATTATTTTTATGTAGTTTTGAAGCTTCATAAAGAGTAGTCTTCAAACAGGGACAATATCAGATATTGAGTATAGTCAATGATGTGTAGTACAAATAAAAAATTGCATAATTAATAAATGTATCAAAGACAGCATTGTTTGCAAATCCACTTTCAGGTTATCAGTCTTTCATTGATTTAGTGCTAACTATCGCCCTCTGGTGGCTGGTCTCATTTAACTGCTGTATTATAATAGAGAAAATAAGTACAGGATGGCAAAGGGCCACTTTGCTGCAGCTGCGAAAAAAAAGTATAATTGATTCTGTCTTACTGGGCCCTATTATGGTAAATGTCAAATGTAGTTAATCTTTGAAAAACCAATTGACATTCAAGCATTATTGACATTTCATAGAAGTAATCAGTATTCTGACAACCATGAGGGTCACTTCAAATGAGAACATTTTACCTTTATCCTAGATTGAGATCCTGGAACCCGCAGGATCCCCTCTGAATCGACTCCTTTCTTTTCCAGAAACGACAGCAGCTGCACAAAAAAACATCAGCAGAACCAGACATCAACTTTTGTGAATCTCCTGCTCACCTCTGCTGGTTAGAGTCAGTAACTGCCTCTACAAACAGGGTGTGGCCAAACCACTAAATGCTCAGAGAACACTCTGATTTTTAAAGTTTTCTGGTTCATTTGTGTGCCAGTAGAGGCAAATTGATTCCAAAAATTATTCATTTACAAAGCAACAAAGGGAAAAGCAGAGTTATGAATAAACAGTAAACAGACATGTACCGTGTGCAGGAAGAGAGGAATTGAGGTGTTTGGTCTAATTTTCTGATCAGTTTCCAGCAGCGTGGCCAGCGGTACCCCAAACAGTGTGCTCTCTGTAACAGATTGAAACATCAACCATGAGGTTCGCACAAAAAAACCTTAGTCCACAGCAGCAGAAGAAAAGAAAGAGCTGGCTCTTTTCTTATATATTATTACTTTTCATATTTAGTAGGTATCTTTACTAAAAGTAAACACATTTCTAACTAAAAACACAAAGAGTTTATCTTTAAACAAAGAGAGGATAAAACCTATCTATAATGCCAGGTTTGATGCTGGTTTCTTGTGAGCATTTAATTCAGCAGAGCTGTCATACCTGCGATTTTCCTTTTTCCAGTTTTGTGCCTTTTAACCTCTAGTTCCAAAAGGTCGCAGAGCGCCGTCATGTCGATAAGAGCCAACTGACGAACCTTCTTCATGTCAGCGTGGGAGAGATCTTGAATACGAGTTACTCCAAGGCGGCACTTAGGACAGATCACCCGCTACAGACATGAAAGTGGCCGCAAAGTAAGAAAAATAAAAATTGAGACAGAGAAAGCAAAATAGTGCATAAAAAATTACAAAAAGATAGGAATCCAGTTATATTAAACACCATCAGTTAATCAATGCCCATAACTCGGTCTCAGAGGAAATCTATTTAGCCTGAAATAGAAAAACATAAATATCCGCTGGACTCTGACGCAACTACTCTGCCTTTGTTTTCCGCTAATATCTTAAGATCTTAACCTCATTATCTAATCCTGACTGGGGTGGATTAAAAATAACTTGCAGCAATATTTGTGAATATTATTGTCAAATTTGCATAAGATTTTAAACCCTTTATAATTCAAAATCCCATTTATCCAGGCTGGGAATGTGGCCCAGAGGAATTTCTATAAAAATAAATACAATTCTTCAATACATTTAGTAGCGACTAGTGAGTTGTAGTTTAGCTAAACAGACACAAATAGATTTTGAAGTAAACAAAAACATACAAATCTTAAACCATAGGTTTTTGACTGAGACATAGTAAACATTCTGACTGAGTTAAAATTTTTAAATGTTAATACATTAACACTAAACACAAAAATAATAGCTCTCCCAACCAAACATTAACTTAAAAAAGCTCAGACATACACTTAATACATTAAATCAATTTGCACAAACTTGGTTTAAAAGTCCCATTCTGGTGTTATACATTTAGTTTTTTAATGATTTTAAAACGAGCCAGTGAAAACAGTGCAGTAGTACATAATGGCATAATGTGCTAAAGTTTATTACTTTTTAAACAGTTTCTTTAAAAACACAGGTCTCAGCCTGGCTAAAAGCCATTAGTACTTGTCATGGTTTCCAGTTGACGTTTTACTTTAAAGTATTTGTTTTTCATTTAATTGGAGCAGGTAAACTTTCCAGATGGAAATTATATGTTAAAAAGACTTCCTTAAAACAAACAAAACGAAGGATCACAAAGAAAATGAAAAGCAAGCTCACAGGCAGTGTGCCGTCTTCTTTCCTGTATGGGATGTTGTTCAGTGGAAAATTGGCCTGTTTGATGAAAATCACGGCTTGTTCACAGTAAGCAATGTCAGTGATGAGGAATTCCTCCTTAGGGGCAGCCCGCTGATGCTCTGGTGTCACTGCTAAACACACAAACATGTTGGTTTATTATTTTAGTGAAGGAAGTCTGCTGCAGTAATGTCTTCAAGGAAAAATACCCAGATTGCATGTGCGATACAAGGATGTACAAGGAAGGAAAATTTATCATACAAAAACAACAAAGTGTAGAAGATATGGAAGTATGAACTACATGTCAGTCATTTTTTATAGTAAATTGATTGTATAATAATTAAAGTATTTTTTCCCATCACAGGGGCACAAAACCTTGAAAGGTTAAACATAGATTAATCTGAACCAGTAAAATCAGAAGACCTTAAGTTCACTGAAATGTTTCAGGAAGCTCTAAATAATTTGTAAGACATCTGCATGGTAGTATATCCTTTTGAATGGACTATACATCTTATTTTCTCCCCTTCAACTGATTATAATTGTTCTTACCTGAGAAAGGCATTTTGGCAACTGATGCCATACTTTTCTGAGGAAGGTCTTTGCTGTTCTGAGACTCTGGCAGCAGTGCCTGGAAGGACAGAGATTTGACTTACTACAAAAAGCCTTCATCCACAGTTTTAAATATCAACTCTGTATTACTTGGTTTGCTGCAGGGAAGTAAATGCACACAGGAATACAGGGTGTTTCCTTTGATAAAGCACTGATAATGATCTGAGGAACCTTGTTCCTGTCCCCTCTGTTGAACAGAGAGCCGAGAGGACAAAGAGTGGCCTTTACATGCGATTTGCCTTCATTGTTATAGGTCAGTCTTGGTGTACAGAACAAAACACTGGAATAAAAAGTCTCTGATGCTTCACAATTAATGATAAAATTAGATGCACAATTTCTTTTCAGCTTGTTTTTGTGTTACTGCCTCTGACACAAACAGGTTTTCTTGTGCCATTTGATATCACACTTCTCATAGTAACACTGAACATAGACATCAGTGTGAGTGTTTTGATGTGGAGCACAGAATAAGTGCTCCACTTATTCAATGCTCTCTGAGTTGTTACCTGAGCAATGGGGGAGCTGAAGATGTCCCGAACGTCTCTGGGCGGCAGCTTGTTCTTTTTGCGGCGGGATAAGGTGTAGGAATCCAGGCGACGCTGAACAGCTTCTGCCTGCGTCCGGGTCAGAGTGGAGAGCAGCACGGCCTTGTCTACATCCTCACTGTCCTCGCTGATAAGGGTCGATAAGCCAGCATCGGCCAGCCACTGCTCCTCCTGTTCCCCCTCTAAGACACAGAGACAAAGAAGGCATGGCGATGTAAATACATTCCAAAAGAAATGGATATGAGGAGGATGAATAATGTTTGAGAATGAAGGACATTATTCACTGTACAGTATGAGATCCCAGAAAACAATTTAACTGTTATTATTTAAAACAGACATGCAACTATTATTTGCATACATTATTTTAATAAGTATGAAACAACATACTTATTCTAACTATTGTGATAATGTTATCTAAAACTAATTTTGGAGTTAAGCAAAAATATAGTACAAACTCCTGCTAAAAGTAGTATTCGTTTTCAAATAAACACACTTACTGTACAAAAGAATTACACTTACTGACAGAAAATTACACCTTTCTGTCATTTTGCTCTTTAAAGAGTAACATAAATAAAGCAAGCCAATATTAGCTGGTTAATTAGTTGACTCTGCTTGGCTACACAACCTCCAGTTGGTGGCTTACATCTCAATAGGAGTGATCGATGGCACTTCGATTGTTTCTAAACCAGGACATGTCTATGTTTGGGAAAGCAAAATACAGATAAACTGCCAAATGTCTTGTAAGTATGAGCAAAGTGTTTCCAGCACCTCGTTCTAAAAGCATTTAAAACTACTGAAACAGCATAAAAATGTTAGTCCTTTTGAAAATGTAACTGTTTAAATGAGCACCCATTATGCAACAGCATAATGTCAAAAGCTCCACAGACAACTTGATCAATTAGCTTTATACACCTTATTTTGCTGGTTTGCATTATACTTTTGAGCTTTATAAGTTAACTGAAATTAATCAATTTAAATTCAAATCTTGGTAAACAGGTAACTGGCCTGTGCCTACTTACAAGTACACATCATGTGAACAATATGTAAAATGTCTCCAAATAATGAGAATAAACAGTTTGTCTTTTTGCAAAATAATTTAAGAGTCTGGTATTAAACTGTTCAGCGATTCTTTGAAACTAGTAATATGTAAATAGGAAGTTGTCTAAATTCAGTCTATACAAAGTAGTTTGACCTCAGTTAAAATACTGAGTGTTTTTGTGCAGTAAGTTAACTTAGTAGTAATCAGTAAAAACATGAAAAGAAAAAATTGAAAGCCAAAAAATGGGTCTAATCGTTTGAATAGATAATATAAATTTACATTAATTAAAACAGCATTTGTGACTGGCCATTTGTCTTCTGCTTGAATGCTCTTTTTCTTCAGTGTGTTTGATAGTGTTCATCACTGATATGAGCCAAACATCCTGTTACGTTGCCATGGTAAATGCACAACATGGATGCTCAGAGGATCTCAGAAAGACTATTTTGTTACAATGCTGACAAATAAAAAAAATATATCCTGCTTCTCCTCTTCCTCTCCATTCTTAAGGAGACTGCAGCAGAATCACAGTCATTACCTTCTGACTGTCTGGAGTCTCTCCTGGTGGGGTCGAGATCCGCCTCGCCACACCCCTGTCGGATGGTCTCAACCTCGCTCCAGAACGATTCCAGGCACAATTTATCCGGCTGTTCCTGCTCTTGTGCTGCTGGTGAGTTTTTGCTGCCAGTGTGCTCAGCGGCTGCCTGGTCCTGCGGGCTGGCCCAGGGCTCCACGCTCATCTCGGTGGGGCTGGGATCTCTGGTGCAGACATACACACACGTAAAGAAGTCACACGCATGCATGCAAACAAATGAGCTGAGACGCTAAGGCACATAAAACCACAAAAAAAATGGAAGAGATAGAGGCGGAGAAGAGAAGATGGATTAGCCTGGAGAGACCAGAAAGATGGAGAGACAAAAGGTAGGAGCGGCGGGAGGAGAGAGATGGCGAGAGCGGACACAAAGGGGGATCTCTATTGTTCTTGCAAAATGTGGCTTGGGGAAAAAGTACCACAAAAATCCACTAGATGTCACTGTAACAACATGAAATGGAAGGTCACACCCTTCCATCTTACACCCAGATTTCCCCACAACAGAAACTCTAATAATATAAGCTGAAATCTGTAAGTAGGATTTGTAGACACATAATTTGTTTAAAAGGTTTTTGTTTTAACAAATGCGCTGCTAAAGTAAGGGTGTTTTCAAAAGCAGCTCTCCAGCAATGGTGCAAACTCCCAGGCATTAAAATGTGACCTCCTGATTAGACACAGAATCAGCAATTAGCAGATTTTTACTTTTTCAGTCAAAGAGAAATTTTAGTCATAACTATCACAATAAAGCCACACAATTCAATCTGATCACATCTATTTAAATATAAAAAGAATCATTGAATACAAGTAGATAAAAATAACTGAGGTTTTGTTTAAGTAACATTTAAAGTCAGTGCAAAAATTATGCAGTTTTCATGAACCGGATTTGTAGCAATTACACTGACCTAGCTAATGGATTTAAGTAATTATTTCAAGAATTATTAATTTTGTAATGCTATGATTGTTAAATTAATCAAAAATCATAGCATTAAAATGATTTAAGTGAAAGGAAAATGTATCTTTTTATCTATTAATAAATATTTCTACATTATGTTCATAACTTCAACTTTTTTAAAAATAAGTCACTGAATAATAGTCATTCAGTTAATTTTTATGCTATTTTTAGACACTATTGTTCTCTTTACAATAAGTAAAGATGACCAGCAGAAACACAGTCACATTCTTTACACTTAAATAACATGCATGCTTGCATGATTAAATTGTTAGACACATAATCATAAGTAATTATAATCCAAAATTAAATCTAGATTTAAAAGTTGAGTGTTTTCTCAACTTGATTCCTTCAATAGTTAAGGTAACAGAGTATATTTCCTGGTATATAAAAGAAAGACGAATGCGCAAAAAAACTCAGACATAAAAATAATAACCTCCCCCAACGCCAAAGAAGTTTTAGTTCTAACACCTGGATCATAATATTTCTCGGATGACCTCTGAAGCCATTATGTAAAAACAACTTGTCATTTATTTAAGTAAATGACTGGATGAAACAAAGTACACAATTAAAATTTTGAACGTTACAGCTGGGCTTTCTTCTCATGTTGCACTGCTTTTGCTTCATGACACATCTTCCCAGCTATCATCTATGCAACTTCGCTTACATAACAGAGATTCACCAAACCAAACACATGTATAAATTTAGCCTAACATTCTCCGGAAATAACTTTCCTTAGAACACCCACCTGGCTTTTTTTTTGCTGCTTGTCTTCTTCGTGCGCTTTTTCCCCCTCATGTCATGATTTAGCCCGAGCTTGAAACGATTTAACCTGCTGTGTGAAAACTGCATCTTGGGTTCCATTCTGCTCAGCACTACCTCCTCTGTGCCTCTCATATCCACACGGTCAAAGCAATCCAGGAATTACAATCTGTACAAAATCTAGTTTTATCCAGAGTCGCGGACTGGTCACCATGTGAGAGCGAGCTGCATCTGCCAGTGGTTTGGTTTATGGTATGAAGAGATGCAGACTGGAATGCAATAGGGCGAGTGACAAGCCTCCTACTATGAAAACATTCACACCTGTCCCTTCCCCCTGCCACTTTGAGTGGAGACACGCCCTCTCTGGTTCGCTCTCTGGTTCAAACTGGAATCTGCAACCTGCCTCTCTATAAACTCTGTGACTGGAGCACAACAAAGACAAGCCTTGTTTCAGTCTAATGACCACAAACTATCTCAAAACAAGGATGAAAGCTGACAGACTTAATGTTTGGCATTTCAAGAAGGTTTTTAGTCTTTCTCAGTGACAGCTTTTCAATGCTTTATTTTATGTTATCAGTTATCAAAAAAGACCAAAAGATGAAGTCAGAGGACTTAGCAAAAACCTTTTCATTATTTTAAAGCTTATATTGAGAAATGTCTAATCAACATTAACAATCCACATACCTAAAGGGTGACAGCTAACCATGGTATGAGTTGAATCAAATTGTTACCTTATATGCAGACAGACACACAATGTACTAAGTCTATGATCTCATGCAAATATCCTTGCTCAATCTCATACCTGAAACTAAATAAACAGAAAAATGTCTCCATGGTTGCAGAATGTCCACATTATGTATGTAAACAACTATGAAGCCGTTAGAGGTACATTTGCAAGAAAACGTTTCTCAAGTTCCACAAGTGCTACGGGTTTGTCAACATTGCCTGAGAGAAAGCTGCTGTCCCCTGTAACATCACCAAACTGCTGACTTTTCACTAGTTATGTTATTTTCCATTTTTCACTAGTTATGTTATTTCATGTCTGTGAAAGATGTCCGTTCACAGACATCTTTCATTCTCAAAATTTTATGACATTTGTAAACAAATACCTATAAAGTGGAAACTGAAAACATGGAGAAATATTCCAGAGACATAGACCTCGGATAAAGTCAGGTCTGTTATCTGTGATTTACAAAGATTTAAGCTTCTAAACCTCAAAACAGAAATGTGAGAGGCACATGACCCCACCACTTGGTTAATTTAAATTAGGTGTACTAGACACACATCAACATAGACAAACTGATTAGAAAAGCATCATAGTGCTTATAGCAACAGCTAATTTGCAGCACTTGTCCCTAAATGAGCTTTTCAGCAGATAAGCATTCCTACCAACTCAGATAAAGACATATTATTTGTTTTCATATATAAAATATATATGCTTTATTGTTGTTCAATCCTGTCTGGAACAATAGTTCCTTATAAAAGTATTCATAATGTAACTGTCACACTTTGACATTTTGTTCCAGATGTGGCCGTTATTCTGATTCAGCTCATGTCTGAAATTGAGCTTGAGACTGACATAACTGATTCCACTGGGTTATTTTTAGTTTTTTAATTAGTAATCATAATGCTTTTTTGTATTGTTATATTTTACTGTGATGTGGAGAATAAATAAATATATAAATAGAGATATAGATAATTAAGCATTACAACTAGAAATTTTAAGATGTTTTATTGACATTTGATATGGAAGACCAACAAAAAAGTAGGAAGGAGTTTTGAGGGAAAAAACTATTACCTGGTTTCAAAACTTTTACAAGTAAAAAAACTGAAAAGTGCACCAGGGCATTTCCATTTTACTCCTCTACATTGTGGTGCAATTATACACCATGATTTTGTTGGATCTTTCATTCAGTTTTTATTAAGATTTTATCACAAAATCAAATCTAATACATCCAACTGCCTACAGAAGTCTCTAATAAGCAAATAAAGTCTCAAATTTCTCCACCAGCCACTGTGACTAATAGAGAAAATTTTTAATTTCCACCCTACTCAAGAGACATATCAAACCCCTACAATGGAGAATACGCATCATCTCTATCGTGAAACATGGGGGTGCTGGCAGCATCGTGCTGGTGAGTTTTTTTCTTATCCTGGGACAGAGAAGCTGACCAGAGTTCATAAAAAGATGGGTGGAGCAGAACACAAGGTCAACCCAGAGGAAAACTCTTAATGGACACAAAAACTTAAGCCTGGGGCAGAAACTAATCTTCAAATCAGACAACGCCCTTAAATATACAGCTACTGTGTTACAGTTACAGTGAAAGAGTTTATATCAATTTAAGTCATGTGACTTAAACTTGCCATTCACAGACGTCTTTCATTCTGTTTTACTGAGCTGGAAATTTTTTGTGAAGAAGAATGCTCCAAACTTCCAGTCAGAGGTGGTTCTACAAGGTGTTGACTCAAGGGAGAAAGACACACACACATGCCAAACGTGCCATATTTTTGAAACTTTTGAAACTCTTCTGTAAGAGCTGTAACAAACAAAAACATAATAACGCTGAGATAAACTTCAGGCGCTCCAGCAGCAAATTAAACCAAATAAATCTATAGCACCATAAGCCACAAAACAAAGCACATGTGCCACTCCAACTAATAAAACGTACTACTGAAAATGTCAGAGCATTTGGGATTGTTTTCCAGTTGAATGGACCTTGCAGAAACACAAAGAATCAACAGGAAGCCATGCACTCCGAGAAGAATGGACATACATAACGCTGTCCATCTTCATACTTCAAGTAGTGCGGAATAACAAAAGGTAACCACAACAAACAGCTAATTTTATGGACAGCAACAAACAATGTGCAAAAGCAGCTTGTCAAACAGACTAAGCTTAGTGGATGAATTACAAACAAAGCCTCTTAATTTTGACAGAATATAACAATTAAGACTACACAAACAAGATTAACAAATGTTTGTCCTCAACTCTTCACAGCATATGTACGCTCTGATCAATTGTGTAGAGCCACAAACACAGTTTATGGTTCTACACAAAATCCATATTTTTTTTATGGATCAGAAACATAAAAGCAGCCTTACATATACTTTAATAAAGGTTCCCCTCCGAACAATGTTTTTTCTAACATTAATAACAGAGACAATCAAACCAAAGCCCTGTCCATGTAATTTCTAATCAAAATCTGGTTGTTAGACCACAAAAGCACATAACGCCTGATCCTACCTGGCTTTTGCCCGCCAGAGGGTTTTCCCTGCGAGCAGCAGCAGAGCCGCCGAGCCACTTTTTCCCCATGGCATCCTGCAGTTGTCCCCCCAGATTGTTGAAAACTGGAGGAAACAGCAGCTGCCTGCCCTTGGCAAGCTGTTTCCTTGTAATCTCTTCTATGTGCAAACACTTTAGAACAAGGACGGTCTGCTTGTGCTGGCAGGCACGTCACTACATCATATCCTGAAGCAGGAAAGGAGGTCTACAAGGGTGCTGGAAAAGGGAGAAAAACTAAGTAGCTGACTTGATGATGCGCAAGGTCACACAGAGGGAAATAATCGATAACTGATAGTGAGGATGGAAATTCAGTAGATCGAACAGAGTAGTAACGGTTTAAAGACTCCTTTTCTGTTTTTCCAGATTACTTATGTATTTCTAGCACTTTGCATCATAAAGAGGAATATGAATATAAAAAATATTTATATATCCAAGCCAGTTGCCAATGCCAGGACACTTCTAAGTAAAAAAAAAAATCTGAGGTTCCAAAACATACCAAAATATGTTATCACGATTAAAATGCTTTTAATGAGATGCTAGAAAAAGTGCTGACATGATTGGAGCTTGCTCCAGGTGCATAGTGTAGCTGTGCTTGTTGCTGGGCATTGCCTGTCAGTTGTCTAAATGAAGATTCCAACACTTTCTTTTCTTACCAAAAAGCATTTGGCTGTTCATAAAAAAATTCCACATTTTCTGAAAAACTAAAGGAGTACAGCACATCACTCTCAGTACAATAAAAACTGTAATTAGTAAGCTACTACCATTTTGTTTGTTAAACAGACCATCACGTGATCTCTGTTTGAGCCAATATCCCAACAACATAGCTAGCTAACATCAGCATGAGTTACTCTAGAAAGAGCAGACTGACAAAACTATCACATTCTGCACAGGAAGCACATTTTTGTAACTGTACTGAACTGTTAGACTATAAATCAACTTAAGGTCATATGACAAATGTTATAAATGACAACATTATGTAATGTAATGAGCTACAATTATTTATACTGTTGCTAAAATAATTAATTGATATTCTGTTGTAAGGAAAATGTGTTAGATGTTATTTTTGAATGTATTTCTGGGGTTTAACATACAGTCACTTCTTACTGATGCATTTACTCAGATAGTTTGATAAAAACTCCGTGAATTGTAACACTTTTCCATTACGTATCTGCTACTCTTTTGTGTTCAAAGGTTTCTTTATGTCAAGTCATTTCAAACAAGTAGTGATAGAGGGCTGCATGGAGGCACTGTTGATTCAAACCTGACATGTTCAGGGTTCAGATCTCAGCTGGAGTCTTTTTATGATTTTTAATGTTTACTTGGTAAATTTCCTCTCGGCACTCCAGATGCTTTCTTCAGCCTTAAGACAATTGTTATGTTATTATTGACTCTAGAATTTCCCTTTGTAAAGAATGTATTTGTGTTCACTCTTGCTTGTCTGAGTTGGCCCTGAAATGGAGCAGCTCGTTGCTCAGGATCTACCTGCTTCTCACTCTTTGACTGTGAACATAGACGTATGCCCAGAACAGGATAAAATAGGGATATGAATGTGCAAAGAAAACAAAAAATTCCTCTAAAAAATTGTTTTGTAAATTCAGGTCAATGCCCATGACAAGCTAATCATTTAATGATATTTTCTTGTATTATTGAGATAATCATAAAAGTGCTACTTCTTTTTCAAGTAACTTTATGACTGTGAATGAATGACACAGCAATAATAGTCACAAATACTAATGACAGAAAAAAGTTATTTTTATCACAATACATGATACAGTAAATGCCTCCTCCTAACACGAAACATTGTATAATTTGAAATGTTAAATGCTAACTTCATGCGTAAGCATGACAGAGACAAGCCTTGACAAAAATTCTACAGTTTCATCGTGGTATGTACACAAACATCTTTAAAAATATGTGCAAAATGATGTAACTGCTTGCATTTTAATTAGCTCGAATGTATGTTTAGGTAGCTCACTCTACCTGCTTAATAGAAATGGAATTCAAAATTTGCCATTGTAGTTTTAAAACAACATTAATTAATACCAGTGTTAGGTGCTTCCAAAGAGCCAAATATGTTTGGTAAGTGAATGAAAAATGTGACCTTATTTTACCTGGCTGACTGGCAGTACACAA